CACCATTCATTGGTTAGATTCTTTAAAGGGTTAACTTTAAATAGTGTCATCAGTCATTTTCTATTCAGACAAAAAGACTAATTGAAATCTGAATGAATTTGCATGGACATTCAGATGAAAAACGGCACTTTAAGTATAGACACAGCAAATGAAAAACAAACACACACGCACACACACACACACACACACACACACACAGTTTGACCACAGTTTGGTCGAACCAGAATTTGCATCCTGAGTAGCCACTTCCACGACGACAAACTCGGCCGAACCCACATCCTGCAGCCATTTCCTTCTCTCATTTCTTCTTTATTTCTGTCCTTTCCCATCCTTTTCCTGCCCACCTGTCGGACCCCCCCGCCCCCCCTCAGCTGAGCCCTGATTGGCCGTCGGCCACACAGGTGAGAGCGGTCTGGTTTGGGGTTGCGGGCAGTTTGGCTTCAGGTCTGGACACCTGGCTTCTGGCAGCACAGCTTTTAGGTTTTAGGTTTTAGGTTTTGGGGTTTGTTTGGGTTTGTTTGGGTTTGTTTGGGTTTCGGCCTCTCTGACCACCGCCAGCTACCTCTGCAGCCCACACACTTCAGCAGGTGAGTACGTCCCACCTGGAGGTCCCGAAAGGGCAAAAGCCTCCTATTTTGGTCGGAAAATCAGCTGACATTTGACCTATTTTAACGTTTAAAAGGATCCTTTTCAAATCATATGATTTAAATGGACATCTTATTCTCTGTGCTAACAGTAATGATTATGATATGACTAAATATAACATTTAATCTAATTTTAAATGTTATATTAGACCTATATATTAGACCTATATATACACATATAGTTATTTATGTATATATTTATCTATATTATATGTGGAATTTTGTATATATATATATGTATAAACATGTATATATGTATATGACGTTGTTTTATTTATGCAGACCAGTAACAAAAATAATTTCCCCCTGGGATTATTAAAGTATTTCTGATTCTGATTATTTATTATTATTTAGTAAACAAACTTTGTTACAGGTTGATTTGCCCGTTAATAATCAGACAAATTAACTCTGCCAATTTAAATGTGTTTTATTCATTGTTTTATTTTTCTAGAAAATATTCTAAATATTTATTCTGCTTTTTAATTTTCTATACAAATGTGTTAATTTCCTAAATTTAGAAGAAGCTGGATCCCTTTTTTCCTTTAGCTCAATGACAAATTATGCAAAATCTGCTTCAAAACCTGATTTTTAAGGAAAATGTATTGGTTTTGTTCATACATCTTACTTTTTAACGCTCTGTAGTTTTAGGAATATTCCTGAAGAATTTTTGCACACTTTTTTTTATAAATAGTGTTTTTTAGACTTGTTGAGAGAGCTGAGGTTTTAAACACCACTAATGAAATCTCACTAAAACCCGCATTGAATACAGTTTGATAAGTAAATTAGAGTAAACTGCTCCTACATTACAGGATGTGTCAGAATGAATGATTGCAGCCCATTTCTGGGCGTCTAATTCAGATTCTTGTGGCTTTCTTTTGTGAAACAGGCTTCCATGGCCTCCAACAGTCTGTTCGGCAGCAGCAGCCCGATGCTGTACTGGGGTGAGAGCTTTTTTCTGTTTCTCTGAGTTGTCTTACATCATGCTCTGCAGCTCCGGGATGAAACTGGTCCTGGAGGCTGGACGATCTTTAGAACCGGAGGCGGCAGATCCAGCCATCAGAGCGCTTAGAAGCACAAATTCACCTGCTGACAAACGACAAAAGTCAATGAAACGGGGGAGAAAAATACAGGAATAATGTGCTGCGTACTTAGATTCAGATTGCATTTACCACAAAGACTTAAATCATAGGTAAAAGCCGCAACTTTTAGCTGTGTTTAAGGTGTTTTTAATCAACAATAAGACAGGAAACTGTGGAAAAAGGCTTCTTGCTTCCATTACTCTCACCAACTGTAAAGGTTTTTTACCTTTCTGCATTACAGTCTATGACCAAAACAACTTTTAACCTGATTGAATAGCTTTTTTGATTAATCACTAATCAGGAAATTAGTTAAAGGCCACAATGAAGAGTCATAAAGTTCCTTAACTATTCATCTAGTGGAACTCTTCTTAAATGTGTCTGGTTTGTGGTACAAATATTTGAGAAAACTTGTTATTTTTTAATACATTAGAGAAGTTTGATTAAAATTTTATTAACTGAAACAAGAGCAAAATAATCATTTGTTTTGGTCCGTTCAGGATTTTTAATTTCCTGAAATTCTTTGTATTTGTCTCATTTATATAGGAGGTTTCTGGACTTTCTTTAGGGGTCAAGGGCCAAATGATGTGCTGGTGGACCGTGAACGTCTAAGTTTAGGTATTTTTCGTCAATAGTGACGGACAACAGAACAAAAACTGAGCAGAGAGCTTGAAATAACAAGATAGCAGAACAGGCATGTGCCGAAAAAACACACTGTTCAAACACACCCTTTAAAACGCTCCCGGTTGGGCAGGTGTGTGACCGCAGCCACTTCCCCTCCGGCAGTGAAATCTGAATGATAATAACCACCAGCTCCAGGTATTCAAACACTGCGGTGAGAGGGGCACAAAGCAGCAAACAAACACGGAAAAAAAAGGAGAAGCGGAGGATGAAGAAATTACACCCAAAGACGGAGGGAAAAGTGGGCATTCTTACCTGCTTTTCTGGAAACCGCCTCTTCCACTTGCGCTGTTGAGTTTCTCGAATTTGTTTTGTTCAAAGGCGCAGCTTGATGACGTATACGTCAACCCCGGAAGTGTATAGAAGTGGTAAATGTAGTTCCCAGCCTGTTGAATTGTTTGCGTTTTAAAAAAATGGATATTTTCCGTGAAAACGCAGACATGAACAAAGATAGCACCTGATAGCACACCGTACTTGACAATTTAACAGGTTCACTCCATTTAGAGGAGAAATAATGGATTAATTGTATAATTTTATCAACCTAGTGTTCTTGGAAGTAGGCTACTGTAGTTCTAATTGTGTAGACAGTACAATAACACTGACCTGCAGAATTTCTATTAAATTAACCCATTGCCACTTTACCTGTCCAAATAAGTCTGACACGGATAGTTACATTTTAAAAAATGGCTTGTATTTAAGATGTTCAGTACACTGTGCTTGTACCTAAATTCCTTACACCTCTACTTGGTTCTCACCTCAAATCACCTCTAACATTTGCTGTCCTCATAAAAGATTAGCTCTGCTTTAGATTTAAGTACTATTTTTGTTATATTCTAAAATCCAAACCAGAGGCCTAAATTAACCCCTTTCTGCCTTTGTACTGTGACACATCAGAAAACGATGAAGGTGTTAAAGTCGGCGTTAAGATTGACTGTTTCTGGCTAAAACTTGCTCTGCTTTTAGACAAAACTGTCATTTTAGGGGACAAACAACACAAATGTTGTCTCTGCTTTTTTTCCAGACACTGTTGGGAAATGTCGACTGGCTCCGTCACCTAACAGCCGCCAACACACTGAGCAGGACGTGAGGACTCCCCACCACCACCAGCACCACCGTAGTCCAGCTCTGACCAGAGGTCTGGTGAAGACTGACAGCCCGAACTTCCTGTGCAGCAGCCTGCCGCAGCACTGGAGGTGCAACAAGACCCTCCCCAGAGCCTTCACTGTGAGCAACCTGTCAGAATTTGGCTATAATAACTCACTTTAGCATAGTATGCTATCACATGATCTATGTAAATATGTACTGATTGTTTTATTTTCTTTTATAACTATATTTTGTGTTGAAGTCTCTGGCTGTGTCCACAGACTCTCTTTTCTCTCTTTTTCTTTTTATGTTGCATTAGATCCACCTTTAGGTCAACACACACACACACACCATTTGTTACCACATTCCTGTCATCTGCATGAATTAGGACCTGGCCTGTTCATGCCCAGAGGGAACTGGCCAATAGGACTTGGTTGTGTCCAGTCCTCCTTTGAGGAGGCGGATCGAGCCCAGGAGATAATGCCCATCACCCAGATCTCAGGGCTCTTTTCCCACTGAGACCCAGAGAGAGGTTTTTGTCTGTTAGAGCCCAGCTAATATACTTAATTGTGTCCAATAAATGTCATTTTTATACTTTTGATCCACTCTGGTTTATTCTCAGGTTTCCAACTAAAGAATCGGGTTAACAAACCCAACTATTCTGTCTCATCTCAAGAAGGATTTAGTGAACCGACCATCTTTAAAGCTGCTCCTTTCTGCTTCATTTAAAGGTGGTTGCTCTGGGCAACGACGTGCCAGACGGCGTGGTGGTGACGGTGATGGCCGGTAACGATGACAACAACAACGCCGAGCTACGCAACGCAACAACAACCATGAAACAAGGCTGCGCCCACTTTAACGACCTCCGCTTCGTGGGCCGCAGCGGAAGAGGTAAAAGCCAGACGCCAGAGCCCCATTTCTGAATGCAAACGTTATGTTAACCCGATTCTTTAGTTGGAAACTTGAGAATAAACCAGAGTGGATCAAAGGCAAAGAGCCCTGAGATCTGGGTGATGGGCATTATCTCCTGGGCTCGATCCGCCTCCTCAAAGGAGGACTGGACACAACCAAGTCCTATTGGCCAGTTACCTCTGGGCAGGAACAGGCCAGGTCCTAATTCATGCAGATGACAGGAATGTGCTAACAAACGGTGTGTGTGTGTGTGTGTTGACCTAAAGGTGGATCTAATGCAACAGAGAGAAAAAGAGAGAAAAGAGAATCTGTGAACACAGCCAGAGACTTCAACACAAAATATAGTTATAAAAGGAAATAAAACAATCAGTAATTTACATAGATCATGTGATAGCATACAATGCTAAAGTGAGTAATTATAGCCAAATTCTAACAGTTAAGATAGACTTCAGACTTTAATACATTAAGGACTTTATTATAGACTTATTATAGACTTTAAGACATCAAGATCCTCATCTGTTTAAAATTCCTTTATGGCCGTTAAGATAAAACAATTTATTCTTTTTTCATTTATTCATTTTTTCATACCCTAAATGGTTGTTTTATTTTGTTTATTCCAGGGAAAAGTTTCACCCTGTCCATAAACGTGATGACCTCGCCCCCTCAGATCGCCACCCTGCACCGGGCCATCAAGATTACGGTTGACGGACCCCGGCTGCCGAGGCGTTAGTAACCACCAGAAAAAGCTAATTCATAGATTCTATGTCCATTTTTTCCTTTTTCTTACCGTTTTTCATTCGCCACAGGGCAGAGGCAGAAGGAGCCAAAGCCGGGCATGTTCAGACCCTCCAGTAGCACTGCCTCAACAGGTACACAAAGTGGTTATTTTTCTATCTTTGATCAACAAACTGACAATGAAAACTCTAAAAAACGTGTTAAAATCAAGTAACAAAGTTTTGGTTTGTCACATGGTATCATCCCGATATATAAAAGTGCCTAAAAGCTCCCCCATGACTGAGAATTTTATTTAATACTGGACCCGTTTGGAGTTTCCTAGTTTCTACTCCCAGCTCCACTTTGGTTATTGATGCAAAAAAGCTGGAGCTTTAAAAAAAAGGAAATCTGTTTCAGACCCAAACTGTGACATGATGTCAAGACAGGTAGACATGTTTTAAACCCAGAAAACACACATAAATTCATAAACTGAATCAGTTTTGTGGTGAGAACGAATCCAAAATTCATCTTCATTTTTTCATCTTTGATTCTCAGTTGATTTAGTTTATTTTTGCCGGAAGAAAATAAATGAGAAATTAAAAGCTCCTTTTATTTATGTGTTCAGTTCAGACATAAGAAGCACATACACAGTAAATTGTACTCAAGCTTTGAGATTTATTAATTGTAAAACAGATTTAGGGCTAATCGTGTAAAAGGACATAATTAGCAAACTCAATCTGAAAGCTCCAGAACAAAACTGATTATTTTTTTCTAAAGTTCATCTTCATTTTTTCATCTCAGTTTATTTCGTTTATTTTTGCCAGAAGAAATAAAATGGGAAATTAAAAGCTCAATATATTTATGTGTTCAGTTCAGACGTAAGAAGTACATACTTGGTACATTTAAAACAAGCTCTGAGGCTAAAGGAGCTCTTAACGCGAATCAGATTTAGGGCTAATCCTGTAGAAGGAAATAATTAGCAAACTCAATCTGAAAGCTCCAGAACAAAACTGATGATCTTTTTCTGGATTCAGACTGTAGGTCCTTTCCCTCGTCGCTCTGGACCACTGAGCCCTCTTTCCTGGGTCAGGTGACCTCTCTGACATCTTCCTTCACTTCAACTCCCAGAATGCACCACTTGCCCCCCCTCCCCTACCCCTCCCAGCCCCCTTCCTACGGCTCCTACCTGTCCTCCCAACCACCTGCCCCCCCTCCGCTGAGCCACAATGGTCCCTTCCAGCCTGGCAGCTTCTACTATGGACCAAACCAACAGATCCAAAACGCGGGGGACGACCGAAACAGCATCTCAGCTCTGACCAATTACATCGACGGGGCGTATTTCTCCATGAGAGGAGAGGAGTCCGTCTGGAGGCCTTACTGAGGACCGGATGTGTTAACATTAAACCAGATATAACTGTGTTTGCAAAGAGTTTAGTTTGATGACTTTGTCTTTTTCATTTGCAATTCAATGTCTATTTGTATGTGTTTTATCATTCTACGGTCGGATTTTGTAAAATTACCATGAAAAAAAACATGTAGCTTCTTCCTCTTTCCAAATTTTAAGGATCTTAATCTGCATTTACTTTACAAAAACTTCACACAAACTGTTGTAGTGAAAGCCTTTATTCCAAATTGATTTGCTGAGGACTTTTTACACACCCCTGTCCCCCCTCCGCTGAGCCACAATGGTCCCTTCCAGCCTGGTAGTTTCTACTACGGACCAAACCAACAGATCCAAAACACGGGGGACGACCGAAACAGCGTCTCAGCTCTGACTAATTACATCGACGGGGCGTATTTCTCCATGAGAGGAGAGGAGTCCGTCTGGAGGCCCTACTGAGGACCGGATGTGTTAAACATTAAACCAGATTTTAACATGTTTGTAAAGAGTCAAGTTTGATGACTTTGTCTTTTTCAATTGCAATTTAACGTCTATTTGTATGTGTTTTATCATTCTACGGTCGGATTTTGTAAAATTACCATGAAAAAAAATCATGTAGCTTGTTCCTCTTTCCACATTTTAAGCATCTTAATCTGTATTTACTTTATAAAAACTTCACACAAACTGTTGTAGTGAAAGCCTTTATTCCAAATTGATTTGCTGAGGACTTTTTAAACACCCCGGTCCCCCTCCCCTGAGCCACAATGGTCCCTTCCAGCCTGGCAGTTTTTACTACGGACCAAACCAACAGATCCAAAACGCGGGGGACGGCCGAAACGCTGTCTCAGCTCTGACTAATTACATCGACGGGGCGTATTTCACCATGAGAGGAGAGGAGTCCGTCTGGAGGCCCTACTGAGGACTGTGTGTCCATCCATCCATCCATTATGAATACCGCTTATTCCCTCATGGGGTCGCGGGGGGAACTGGAGCCTATCCCAGTGGTCAACGGGCGAGAGGCAGGGTACACCCTGGACAGTCCGCCAGTCCATCGCAGGGCCACACACAGGACATACAAGGACAAACAACCACTCACACTCACATGCACTCCTAAGGGCAATTTCCCCGATCTCCAATAAACCTAACATGCAGGTTTTTGGACTGTGGGAGGAAGCCGGAGAACCCCGGAGAGAACCCACAGACACAGGGAGAACATGCAAACTCCACCCAGAAAGGTCCTGGTTCCCCCGGGACTCCAACCTAGAACCCTCTTGCTGGGAGGCGACAGTGCTAACCACCACACCACCGTGCCGCCCAGGACTGTGTGTGTTAACATTAAATCAGATATAACTGTGTTTGTAAACAGTCAAGTTTGATGACTTTGTCTTTTTCATTTGCAATTTAATGTCTATTTGTCTGTGTTTTATCATTCTACGGTCGGATTTTGTAAAATTACCATGAAAAAAATCATGTAGTTTGTTCCTCTTTCCACATTTTAAGGATCTTAATCTGTATTTACTTTACAAAAACTTCACACAAACTGTTGTAGTGAAAGCCTTTATTCCAAATTGATTTGCTGAGGACTTTTTACACTTATGAATAAATAAATAACCAAAACTGTACTTAAACTTTACTTATTTGGTGTTGGTTTGTTTATAAATAATGAAAAGAAACACAATCCTTTTAGAGAAAAATGTGGTTATTATTATTGATGAAAAAAAAAGATAAAATCTACTAACTTAATCTAAAGTTGTGAAGAAAATACTTGTTTGAATCAGCACGGCAGGAGTTTCTCAACGTTAAATTTGGAGAGATGAGACATTTCTGGAGTTCAAATAAACTCAGCTGCTGATTGGCTGTTGCTACAGTGGGTGTGGCCTCAGGTGGTGAGGGTCGCCTGGAGGAACAGGTAAAAAGAAGTACACTGAGTTTTTCATATCATATATAAGAAAGTAATACGTGGCAAGTTAAAACTATACAGCAAAGAATTGTGTTGTGTTTGTCTTTTTAAAGACATTTTGTTGTTCTTCTGATTGTATATTTACTCTTAAAGTGTGCAAAAAATAAAACGAAACCAGGAAACAAATTTTTCTTTAAAGACCATTTAAATTTCAACATTTTACATGGAAACCAGAGTCTTATCGGTTTTCAAGTGGTGGTGATTCAGGAAAAAGTGTGCTTGAACCATTCCTTTGAAACGGGACTAAACGTTTCTGGTCATTTCTGCATGTCAGTGTAATAAACAATGTGCCTAAAAGGAAATAAGATGTGTATTTGTGTCATTTTATTCAAAATTTGTGCAACGTGATGACAAAAATTATTCAAGTTGTGAGACATCTCTCTTGGGATAATGAGAAATCCTGTTGAAATAATATATTTGATTTAAATTTAATTAAATATCAACCTGTAAAGTGTGCCTAAAAGGAAATTAGATGTCTATTTGTGTCATTTTATTCAAAATTTGTGCAACGTGAAAACAGAAATTATTTCAATTTTGAGACATCTCTCTTTGGATAATGAGAAATCCTGTCGAAATAATATACTTGATTTAAATTGAATTAATCAGCAACCTGTAAAGTGTTGAGTTCTGCCACTCTCCTGTTCCACTCCTCTTCTGTCATTTCTTCTTCTTCTCCTCTTTCCGGACCATCCTCCCTTATCTGGCGCTCCCCTGCACAGACGCACGCAAAGGCCTCTGAATAAAACCACCCAAAACGAGGGGATGAACCCTTTTAAAGGGGCGTGTCTGTGTTTTGTGGCCCACCGTTGCAGGTCAGGGCCGTGCAGACCCAGTTCCCACAGGCACACACACACTTGTTGCACTGCATCTGAGTCTCCGCCCCGTCCTCATAGGCCTCATCCTCCAGAGCACACTCTGTACAAAGAAAAAAAACTAAAATGTTAGAAAAACCAGCATCTGTTCGACTGTAATGCGTTCTTTGTGCTTTCTCATCCCCTTTCTCTCTCCTCTCTCCTCCTATAACTTTCTACAGATATCCTTCCATCAATCTGTACAACGCCTCCCTCTGAGAGTCAAACTTAATTGTTGACATTATCACCACCACTTATTTAGACCTATAAATATATACATATAGTTATTTATGTATATATTTATCTATATTCTATGTGGAATGTTGTATATATATATATATATATATATATATAGACATGTATATATGTATATGCTGTTGTTTTATTTCTAGTAACAAAAAAAAATTTCCCTCTGGGATTATTAACCCGGTTCCTACTCTGCTAAAATTACAGCCACTGTTAATAGTCTTATTGTTGATATTACTGCTATCATTATCATTAGTACCATTTTCCATCCAGTCTATGTGTTACTGTAGGCTGCCTCTCTCTGGCCCTCTCTCGCCCTCTCTTTCTCTCACCACCAACCGGCCTGCCTGTTAAAAGGAAGTTTTTCCTTCCCTGTGTCGCCTAGTGCTTCCTCGTCCCCCTCCTCTCTCCTCTCTCCTCCTATCACTTTTTACAGATAATCCTAAAGCTGTGGAAGCTGGATCTGTGATTGGGAGTCTCCTGCTCCAGGTTTCTGCCTGTTAAAAGGAAGTTTTTCCTTCCCTGTGTCGCCTAGTGCTTGCTCATGGTGGGAATAGTTGTTTTTCTGTAATTAACTTCAGAGTAGGGTCTGACCTGCTCTGATTGGAAAGCTGTGAGACAACTGTTGTTGTGATGTGGTGCTATAGAATAAAATTGAATTGAATTTAGTTACTTCTCTCTGGTGGCTGGTAGGAGGGCGTCAGGCAGTTGGTGAACTCGGGAAAACTCAGCTTCCAGTCGGCGTTTTCGTCCGACAGCTCGATCAAAGCGTCGACACACAAAGACCTTAAAGGCACGAGAGATCACCTGTAAGCCGCCATTTTCTTTCCTTATCCTGAAACATTATTTTTTTACTGCGGGTGAACTGACACCTTGGAAGCATTTTGAGGCTGTCAGACATCAGATTGACACAGAAAACTGCAGCAAAAATGAATTAAATCGACATTTGTGACGTTTCTTCTCTTATCCGAATGCCGAACACTTATCATTTGAATAAAAAACAACACAAAAAGTGACTGTAAACCACATGTAACAGGTTATATGTGGGAGCGTGAGCTGATTCTGGGTTGGATGTGGCACCTCAGGAGTGGGTTGGTTTCTGGGGTATTGGGGAAAGTGAGGTTGAGCGCCGTCTCGTTGTGGTTCAGGAACCTCAGGAACTCTTTTGAATCCAGCTGAGAATCCCCGTCGTCGTACGTCTGCGCCAGAAAAACACAACCGTGACTCGACGTAAACTATTCAGTTACTCTCTCAGGCCACTGTTAACCCGATTCTTTAGTTGGAAACCTGAGAATAAACCAGAGTGGATCAAAAGTATAAAAAATTCCATTTATTAGGTCACAGTTAAGTATACGTTTTTTTTTGCTTTTTCGCGGCATTCTTTGATAATTGTAAGTCTTGTTTTTGCTTTTTGGTGTATATTTGGTCAATTTTTGTATTTTGGTGTATTTTTTGGGTCATTTTAAGCCTTGTTTTTGCTTTTTTGGTGTACTAATGTTAGCCCGATTCTTTAGTTGGAGGCCTGAGAATAAACCAGAGTGGATCAAAAGGATAAAAAATGACATTTATTGGGTCACAGTTAAGTACATCAGCTAGGCTCTGACAGACTAAAACCTCTCTCTGGGTCTCAGTGGGCAAAGAGCCCTGAGATCTAGGTGTGATGGGTATCTGTCTTCTGGGTTGGGACCCCCCTAAAAAAGACTGGACACTGCTTATTGGCTAGTTTCTTACTACATGAGCAGGCCAGGTCCTAATTAATGCAGATAACATTGAAATGTGATAACAAATGGTGTGGATCTAATGCCATCATAGAAATATATAAATGTATATATGTATATGATGTTGTTTTATTTATGGAGCTAGTAACAAAAAAAAATTCCCTCTGGGATTATTAAAGCATTTCTGATTCTGATTCAGAAAGAAAGCAGAGTCTTTGGACACAGCTAGAGACTTTAACACAAAGTTATGGTTCTATAAGGAATACAACAATCAGTAATTTACATAGATCATGTTATAGCATGTTATGCTAAAGTGAGTAGTTGTAACCAAATTATAACACCGCTGTCTGATCTTTAAAATGGAAAACCAGGTGAAAAACGGCCTCGGTGTGAAAAACATGCTGAGATCTGACCTGGAAATAAGCCTTCAGGACGCCTGGACCCAGATGACCCGATTCCCCCTCCGCCTGAATCCACTGAATGACTCTTTTCCTCAGCCAGTCGCGGTCGGACAGCAAACACACCACTGCAAACATTAACAGTTCGTCCTGAAAACCCATTTCTCTGAGCTCTGAGTGCCCCGGACCTCCCGACTTACTGGGGCTGGCCTCTGGTTTGGGGGGTCTCTCTGCCAAAACAAAAACACAAACCAGCATCAGCAACAGAGATGGATAAAGTACTGGAGTAGAAGTACAAGTACTATATTAAAAAATTACTTGAGTTAAAGTTGAAGTGTTCTTTCAACTCCATACTTAAGTGGAAGTACGGAAGTACTCAATTTTTTTTAACTTAAGTTAGTAGAAGTATTTCAAAAATTGCTACTCAAGTATTGAAAGTACAATTATAAGTAAGAGTACAAGTACTGTGTGTATTAAAAAAAGGCAGTCAAAAGATTGATAGATGTAGTTTATATTATTTAAAACGTGTGAGAGGCCATACAGATAATATACATATACAAAATATGTATATACATGCAAATTTTTATCCTGTGCGGGCAGTGCTTTTATCTAATTTGATTTATTTGATTTATTTTACTTATTTAATTTATTTTGCATACTTTATTCTATTTTATTTCTATTTTAGTTTATTTTATTGCCTTTATTTTTTTTACTGTTTACCTCATCTTTTCTTGCTGTACTTCTATTTATTCTGTACATCTTTTTGTGCAGCACCTTGGAAACCTTGTGTTTGTTGAAATCGTGCTATATAAATAAAGTGGATTGGATTGGATTGGATACAGTTGTTTACAAAAAACAGAAAGCAAAACACAAATAAGATTCAGCCCGTGAAAGTAAAAGTAAAAGTATTAAATTAATCAAAAATATGTAGTGGAGTAAAAGTAAACGTAGGGAAAATGTATATACTCCAATAAAGTACAGATAATGAATATTGGTACTTAACCCTGTAATGCCAAATGTATCATATTTGATACGGTTTCTGAAATGTTTTGCGTCTGACTCCTTTTGCATAATTTAATGGTAAAAACTTTGCTCAAAATCCTATCGTACACAATCAGATACACCTGATAACAGGGGGCAGAAGACTACACAAAAAATAATCCTGACTTATTGCATAGTAATAAATCATTAATATTAAAAATGTATTTCAGTTTTTTCTTTTCACATATTTTGTTAAAAGGCCAAATAAAGACTTAAAACCAAAAAAAAGTTATTTTCTGTTTTGTTTTATTCTTGGATCAGGCTTTAAAGGGCTAAGTAGTTCTACTTCCTTACTGAACATCTCTGCCTTTGACCCTTGGGGAGGATTCATTAGGTTTACATATCAGTAACTGACCGGTGCAGCGTCCTCTGTGCTCCGCATGGATCTTTATCCGGGCGGTGCAGGCCTCTCTGTGCAGCTCACAGTGGCTCCGGTAGGATTTCCCGTTACTGCCACACACCCAGTTCTCTGCACCGCCACACTGCTGCAGAGAGGGAGGAAAAGGCCGCCATCAACTGCTGGGTTATGCACAAAAACAGGCCTCCATCAATATTAGCTCTTATTATTCTAACCAAATAAAAATTCAAAGTGTAAAAAAAGAGAGAATGTTTAGATCTGATGAACTGGTTCTTCTGTCCACATATAAGTGATATATTTAGCTGTTATTTAAAAAGATTTTAGCTCTTAACAGCAGTAATGGCTCTAAACAATGTTGTGACACGGCCATTTTTTCAGTGCTCTGCTGCAGAGAGGGAGAAAAATGCCGACATCAGCTGCTGGGTTATGCACAAAAACATCAATATGAGCTCTTATTATTCTAACCAAATAAAAATGAGCCTGCTGTGTAAAAAGTTTAAGAAAGAGGGAAGGTTTGGATCTGATCAACTGGTTCTTCTGTCCACAGAAAAGTGCAAATAAGTGAGATATTTAGCTGTTATTTAAAAGATATTAGCTCATCTTAAAAGCAGTAACGGCACTAAATAATGTTTAAACAGGCCATTTTTTTCTGGAAACATCTGGAAATAGAGGATTCAGCTGTCTGTTATGGAGAGATGTCTGATTTAAGATTCAAGATGTTCAAAAAAATCCTTGGTTTTCTTAGTTGTATTCCATCCATACATCTTCCAACATTTTCTAATCTAAAAAAATAGACTCTAACATAAATAAAACATCATTCTCCAGTCGGAATACTTTTACCAACCACAGAAAACTGGAGAAAGTTACACAAAAAAGACAAATAAGTATGAATAGGTGTGCAAAAAAAGGCCACAAACCCGATTTAACCGAGGAAAGGTAAACAGCGAACTGTCAAAAGAGGATTATCAAAAGAGGACAGTCTGAAGTTGCCGTGGTAACCGTACCTGTAAACAGCGACACACTGGCTCTCCCCGGTCGGTGGACACACACTCTCGGCCCGCGCCGCAGAAAGTCCGGGCACACACCGACTGATCCTGACACACACACACACACACACACACACACACACACACACACACACACACACACACACACACACACACACACACACAGAAAAGCTTCTTTAGCCCAGTGAGAGGAAAGTGTGTGTGAGCGTGAGTGTGTGTGTGTGTGTGTGTGTGTGTGTGTGTGTGAGTGTGTGTGTGTGTGCGTGTGTGTGTGTGTGTGGGTGCTTCACCCTCCAGATGGCGACCTTTGACCCCCCACGTGAATGACAATAACTCCCACTTGAGCTCAACTTTGAAGCAGCTGCTCATTTAAATTCACTCTCAATGAATATTTTTTGCTTAAACACAAAAATGTTTCCGTATAGAGAGACACATTTATCAAAAACTATGTCAACTAGTTCATTTATCCTTGTGAGATCAATAAAGTATTCAATCAATCAATCAAACTAAACTAATTCAAGAATATCACATGTAAATATTAAACTCCCTGTGCTTTGAACTTTGTACGTGAACTTTCATAGTTATAAGACATTAAAAATGAAGAGTTGGGAGGGAAGAAAAAGTGATGCTACAAGCTTCAAACCAAGAAACTTTATATTCCCAAAAGCCCATATTTTTTATCTAAGATGAGCAGTTATAAAGATTTAGGAGGTTGGGAGGAGTGTGTTGAGTCAATGGGGATAATTCAGAGATGATTTGGTGCTAAACTGTTTGTTTTTGATGCTGCTGTTGGGCTAAGAGAGGAAACTAAAAGGGTTTATTTAATCAAAAGGAAGTGCTCAGGATTGTGATATTTACCTAAATAAAATAGATAAAAGCAGAGGAAAAACAGAGGAAGTCAGCTATAAAAACAGAGGTAATTTAAAAAGACAAAACAAGGGTCATGACATCATCCCGACAGAAAAACGTGTGAGGGCCGAGGACCTTTGAGGCGTCCCTGTGAAAACTCCTGTTCAAAATGTCTCCACACTCAGGATTTAAGAGTTTTCCACTCAGACAAAAGACGCATCTGTCGCCTGTTTCTGCCCAAAAGACACCTGCTGCTGGAGACACACACACACACACACACACACACACACACACACACACACACACTGACACACACAGAGAAACACAGAGACACACACACACACACATGCAGAGAAACAGACAGACAAACACACACAGACACACGGACATACACACACAAACACACACACACACACACCACACACACATGCAGAGAAACAGACACACACACATGCAGAGTAACAGACAAACACACACAGACACAGACACGCAAAGACACACGGACACAAACACACACACATGCAGAGAAACAGACACACACACACACACACACACACACAAACACACACACACACACACGGACACACACACACAAGGACACACAAAAACACGGACACACACATACATAGAAACAGACACACACACACGGACACGGGCACACACACACACACACACATACACACAAACACATTCAGAGAAACAGACACACACACACACACA